ATACAGACAATTGATGCTTGGATTGATGAGGCAGATACAGCATCCATGTCGGTGCCAGCTTCCCCCATGGTCTCTGATGCTGATGATGAGGCGCCTTTACAGCAAGAGGCGCGAGGCTCGGTGCAAACAACGTTGGCAGAGGGCGAGAGCACGTCACAGCCAGTCGTGCAGTCAGCAGCACAGCCAACCCCCACGAAACACGCGCCAACCCCGTCGGCCTCGATCATTTGCGTGCCAGTACCATCGGCCTCGGGTTCAACCTCGTCTCCGGCGCGATCGGCTGCAAGCTCAGCCTCGGGTACACTGCGGCGTAAGTGAGTGCCGCTGGCTGCTGAAAGTACATGTACCCCTGGGTCTGACAATCATGACGATGGCGACGGCATCGCTACCAGCCCTGCTGCCTCAACATCCAAGCGAACGGAATCGGATGTCACGTGCACAGCTGTTGCTTCTTCAACAGCGGCGCAAGCAGCGGAGTCGCCTCTTCCCGCAGCAAAACGAGCAGCATCGAGTGATGCGCGCACCGCCACCGTTGCCGCTACTGCTACCACTTGCTCTGAAGCCACGGTATCTGCTGCGGCTACGCCTTCGAATCGGCACAACGTCGCGCCAATATTTCGGCCGAAATCGGGGACAGAAAAAAAATATCTGATGAACTACGCGGCGGCTGACAAGTTTATTGGCGTTCTGAAGTTGATGGATGATTATTGCATGCGATGTACTATTCGACAGGCGAAACCCGTCCTGAAGGCCGAGCATCAATGCGTATCTAATCGTGGTTGCAAGCGGTGTCACTTCGGAGGACACGAGACAAGTGAATGTTTCGTGGGCTTCGCATATCCCAAATGGACGTGCTGCTACGCTTGTGGAATGCCAAAGGGGATTCGTGGATGTAAAACATGGGATCACCTTTGCATGCAGTCTCAATGACTGGATTCGGGCCTGAGCTGTCTCCTCCTTTATTCGGACTGTCATCCGGGGCTGCGCGACCTGGCCCAGCGGATGGGCTACAACGTGAGGGAAAGGACATTGAAGGATTTAAAAACGCGCGACTTGTTTGTCGAGTGGCTGTACTCGCCCGTTCCTGGTCTACCTCCAAGGGATGGGCATTGGCGTCTTGTGGAATTTGTGTTTGAAAGTGCGAGGATCCTGCTCCCCAGTGCGGCGAAAGCCCAAGTCGGCCCCGACAGTTTTCGCTAAACACACACATGAAGCTCTTTAGAATCAGAACACAGAACCGAATGTCAGAATGTCATCATCTTTATTATCTTCAATAACTGCTGAAACGACTGCGACTTTTTACTTGGAATGGCTATGATCAGCTTCAATTAATTGAAACTTTGCTTCATTAACTTCATGCCTCTCTTCCTTCCCTTTGCTCATCATTTTTTTTTCTCACAGACGCGCCACGATGAAGCGGGCCATGGGCGGGGCGCGCGCGCGCTCCTGGTGGTGCGTTGTCGTCGTTGTGGCGCGACGGGCAAGTGCTGCCGAGGTGCAAGCGACGACATGGATGAACGGGTGGCCAAACGACATTGCCGCGTGACCGTCATGGATGGACCATTCTTGCTGATCTCGTGTTGGGCTGCCATTTGTTGTCAAGACAATTCCTCGATCTGACCCATGAGGAGCCGCGACCGCTCGTACGCTGATGGACGCGCTAGCTAGGCCCAAGAGCCACGGAGCCTGGTCAGATCCGGCACGAAGCACTCCCACTCAAATGCAGGTGAGAAACCGATCTTAGGCCCGCTTTTGAAAATGCTATCCATGACACCCGCTGCCAGAAACGAAAGCAAGAGTGATATTTGCGAGTTTTGGCGCGCGAATCGCCGGGTGTTTCTGACGGTAGAACTGTGTCACAGGGTAGCCGCTGGTGGATGAGGACTCCATATCGAGCAGCGGAAGCGTGCGAAGAATGCGAGGTGGGCTTTGTTTTGACGTGCGCCGAAAGTTGTGACCAGGGGCCCGGCTGCCATTTGGTGTTGGTTGAGGAGCAGAGGCGCGCCTTTTTTATGTTTTGGCCGTTTCGAGGGGGGTACTAATGGTGGGGCTGTCGTGTCACAGGATAGCCACAGGTGGATGAATACTTCCCATTGAGTAGCGGAAGCGTGTAAAGAATGCGAGGTGAGCTTTGTTTTAACGTGCGCCGAAAACTGTGACCAGGGGCCCGGCTGCCATTTGGTGTTGGCCAAGGAGCCAAGGCGTGCCTTTTGTATTGTTTGAGCCTATTGAGCGGGGTACTAATGGTGGGGCTGTCGTGTCACAGGATAGCCACAGGTGGATGAATACTTCCCATTGAGCAGCGGAAGCGTGCGAAGAATGCGTGGTGAGCTTTGTTTTGACGTGCGCCGAAAACTCTGACCAGGAGGCCGGCTGCCATTTGGTGTTGGTTGAGGAGCAGAGATGCGCCTTTTTTCTTGCTTGGCCGTTTCAAGGGGGTACTAATGGTTATGCTGGCGGGTGACAGGGCGGCGGACGGTGGATGAGGACTCCACATTGAGCAGCGGAAGCGTGTAAAGAATGCGAGGTGAGCTTTGTTTTAACGTGCGCCGAAAGTTGTGACCAGGGGCCCGGCTGCCATTTGGTGTTGGCCAAGGAGCCAAGGCGCACTTTTTGTTTTTTTTTGGCCGTTGAGCGGGGTGCTAATGATGGGGCTGGCAGGTCACAGGGCGGCCAACGATGGA